ATTTAAATACTTCACAACTTGTAACGTCAAATAAAACGTTCGTTTCTGAGATGTGATTTTTGGAGTCGATATCGCTAGTCTAATTCGATTTTTGATTTTGAATAATTTGTTATACTTGACAACTTCAACATTTCTTATATTTCAATACTTCACAACTTCCAACTTTAAAACACTCTTAGAATCAATATCACTTTGCTAGTATATTTCGATTTTGATTTTGAATAATTCACCATATTTTATAACTTCAACATTTTTTATTTAAAATTTAAATAATATCTATCATCTAATTTTGTTTTGCCACGAATTTTGGTCGCCTTTCCGTCAATTTTGCATTAAACTTTTAAAGTTATGGTCTATACAGTGTGTCAAATAATGAGTGGTACAGGGCAAAGGGTGATTATACGTACCAAGATAAATCGAAAACGTAGAATAAAATTTGTTCATTTCCTTCGTTTCCGAGTAATTCAATTTTGAAAATTTTAATACTTGGTTAGCCGTACAAGTAGAAATAGTAAGTATTGATCAGACACTCTAGCCAAGTTGTATCGAATCGCACGCGTACTTGAGAAATTTTCAAATCCAATTACTTCGTAAACGAAGAGATTTTATACTACATTTTCATCTTATTTTTGTATTTAGAATTACCTAAGACAATTTTTTATAAATTTAACAATTCATAATTTAAAGTACAATGTCCTATCACATACACAGAAGCAAACATGGACGTTTCATTGTGATAGACTTTAAAGAAATGATTATTCGAGTGAAAATATCTTCATATGTAATACTTCTTTTTTTAACTAGCACTTTACGAAGACCAACATAAAAGAACGAAAATCATGTATATCCAAACGATGGAATATCTTTCACAAACCCTTAATACAATATGGCGATGAGGTTTCTATTACCGAATTATTAATTGATTTAGAAATTACAGAATCTGAATTTACCTCCTATAATAACATTTATAATGAAATGAATTTTTTTCCAAATTTAATTATTAATTAATTATTATTCTTGACTTTTTGATCGAACTATTATTACGTACTAAACGGACCAAAACAGCAGAGAATGTTCTACAAATTTTTCTAGAAACACGTTCACAATGATTTTTTCTTTTCTGTACATACTAAGATTGAGTATTTTACCGTAGAAATCATGTAATCTTATTCAGAAATAGAATTGAAAATCGGCTTTGATACTTAAAAGGAACGCTCTCGTGCAATTTTCTCTAAAAAAAAAACAAGAAATTGTATTGCTGAATTATGGAACAGTCGAATCCATTCCGAGAAACAAGTTACGGTTTGCAGTCACTTTCTCGCGTCGGCAGTGTTGTTTCGATGTAACACATCGGCGTCTATCGATGCGCATTCCCTGCGATGCTCGTAGCGTTGTCGGAAGGCGCAAACACCGGGGCGAGAAAAGTTTTCAACCCGGATAAACGGGGGGATTCCGCGATAGAATGAGGCGAGCGAACCCAGTGTCGAAGGAACGGTAGGAAATGTAAGGACGTACGTATGTTCTGGCGCTGTTGTCGTGACGTTCTAAATCGGGGAAAGTTTCTTGCAACTGGGCCAAACGTCGACGCAACTGAAACATTTTCCGCAAATTGCACGGTATGCGCGGATAACATCCTAATAACATCCGTAACATTGAGATATAAATTTTCACGGCAAAGTGGAGATGCGTGAAATCACGCATTTTCCATTCATTTGTTCATGTTTCGTGTAATGTAAGGACGACACCCTCTCGCTGTGTTTGCACAAACCATGAAAGCTCTGTCTCTAGTCCTTAAAATACAGAGTGTCCAGCCTGGGAAAAATTTTAATGGGAGATTCTAGAGACCAAAATAAGACGAAAATCAAGAATACCAATTTGTTGATTGAGGCTTCGTTAAAAAGTTATTAACGTTTAAAGTATAGGCTGTAGAACGGCAATCTGCGGACAGCTGCGTGCGCACGATAGTGGCTCCCACTCAGAAAACTGTAAAGCTGTCGATGAGTCAGTAAGTAGAGTTCCACATGTTGAGTGAGAACCACTATCGGGCGCGCGCAGCTGTTCGTAGATTGCCGTTCTACAGGCGGACGTTTGAACGTTAATAACGTTTTAACGAAGCCTCGTTCAACAAATTGGTATACTTGATTTTCGTCTTATTTTGGCCTCTAGAATCTCCCTTGCATATGGAAAGTCATTCATTTTTGTTACCTTTTTTTAATGTTTGGAGTTTTGTTGAATGTTAATTTTTGTGTAAAAGGGTTAAAAGTATTTTGTTCGTGAAGGAATGGGTAACCAGGGAGAACGAAACGAGTGGTTGTGAAAAATAGATGTGATTCCTATATGATATTAAATTGTGTTACCAATTATTAATTTATGTAAAAAGATTGTGTGTTTCAGATTCGTATATATAGTTACATCATTTGTACATTCGTTCCAAATACAATTCTCTTTGTTAAATTCTACATGTATATGTGATTCACTAATATATACTATATACAATAATCGTTCTAGATTATCAAACAACTGCAAACCAAAATAAATAAAACAAAACACTTTCAACAACGTTACACATAATTTTAAAAATTGTTGTCTACGCGGCAGCGATTAGTCGTGAGTCGTTTGACAGGTATTTTGCCAAAACGTTGTCTCGAAAACATGGAACAATTCCAGCTCGAACGAGCGATTCATCTTTGAAGGACGGCTCTTCAGGCAAATATATATCCCAGGCGTGCTTTCGACAGTCGGCGACACCTGTACGAGATTTTTTTCGTCTTTTTATTTTTTTCCCCCCCTCGAGACAGGCACTCGCGAAGCGTAACATCGCGTCGACCGCCGTCATATTGCGCGCCAGAATAACAGTTTAAAATAATTTAGAAGCGCCACGTGGGGCGAAGAGGAGCAAGAGGCGACGGAGGACACAACGGACGTCGTTGTCGTCGTGTTCGTCGCACTACCGCCCTTTCGTTTGCGTCGACGAGAAAATAATGAATGTATGAGAAGGGATAGAAGGGTGCGTGTGGTGAGCCAAAGTTGGTAGCACGCGTGTCGTCGCGCAGGGACCCCCCCAACTTCCGTTTCGCGCGTTTCTTCACAGTGTACGTGTTTCTCGACGCAAGGGTGAAAAGTCTCGGTCACTTTGAATTTTGAAATTTTTCCGTTGCACGATGATGCGTGATTCTCGAAAATTTTTCAGCAACAGAGCGGATTTTTTGTGCTATACAGGGTGTTCGGCCACCCCTGGAAAAAATTTTAATGGAAGATTCCAGAGGCTAAAATAAGACGAAAATCAAGAATATCAATTTCTTCATTCAGGCTTCGTTAAAAAATTATTAAAAAATTAAATTAGAAAAATTTCAAATCATTCTGAAAAAATTAGTTTTGGTTGCGGTGGTCAATTACAATTATTTTTTATGAATAAACATACCCCTGAAATCCTATACATTTTCGAGAAAAGAATTCGAGATGTGAAATTTTTCGACAAAATTAAAAAATTTCAAATCGTTCTGGAAAAATTATTTTCGTTTGTGTGGCTGGATTACAATCACTTTTGGTGAATATACATACCCCTGAAATCCTACCCATTTTCGAGAAAAAAATTCGGTTAGGTACTGAAATTTTTAGTCGAAATTGAAAAATTTCAAATCATACTAAAAAAATTGTATTTTGTTACAGGGGTCAATTACAAGCATTTTTGGTGAATAGATATACCCACGAAATGCTCCGCATTTTCGAGAAAAAAATTCAGTACGGGCGGAACTTTAAACGTTAATGACTTTTTAACGAAGCCTCCATCAACAAATTCTCAAATCTAGAATCTTTCATTAAAATTTTCCCCAGGGGTGACCAAATACCCTGTATACGTGCACGTATCTTGCTGTATGAAGTGATTAAGCAAAAGTAAGGAGAGGGGAGCATTTACTGCCTTAAATGCAGAGACATTAAATAGGCGGTCGATCGAGTATTTGTGAGAGAGCGTAGCCCTCTGCTGGCGAGTGTGAGAAGTCTCGCCACAACTCTAAAAAGACCAAGCCACGAAGCGTCGCGTTAAAGATTAAGGGAAGAGGAGCTCAAACCCACCTACGTTGTAATTATCTTTGCAAAATGATTTTTAAATAATTCTGCAGTGTAGTGACTCGCCCCGTATTTAAATTTTTAGTGAACGCGTTATAAATCATGTAGACAATGCCAGTAATCGTGGAACCAGCTGAACGTAGTTTTCCGTAATTAAAACTAATAAATAATTTTTATGGCATAATGAAAGATATTGTGTAGTGGAAAAAGCGAGATAAATACAAAGTTTTGTAATGTACTTGGTGTTTCGATATGTTGTATTGCACATGTGTACCAGCAATTTATACGTCGGGTAAATAATTTATTATTAAAGGTTTTCTTTGGCCCCGCACAGTTTTGAAAGCCACACAAAAGAAGTTGCGTCAGCCCTGAATAAATTATTGGCATTTCAGTCTATAATGTACAATGTCAGTATATGATCTGCAAAGTGAAGTAAACACTGTGCTGTGGCAGTATATTATAATCGAATTATTTATTTGTATAAACTGTCCTTTGAACTGTCTTTGAAATGACACAAGTGTTATTTCGTATATTATACATTCATCACGTAGATCGTGGCATTTGTTTTTAACATACAACTTTAGTCAATGTTAACGAATGATAAGTAAAGAATAAAATGGAGAGAAAGTTAAAGTTAGTTAAGTTCCTATGAAGATGAGCAATTGCACATTATTGGAGTACAAAAATGTCGATAATACAGGAATAAAATCAAATGGAGCACATTGTTTATATGAATATTTTTTTTTATTTGTGTCTTGAATAGATTGCTAAAGTGGATGTTAGGCTACATTTCGTTTATTAATGTGTGCTAACATTTTCTGAATCAATCAGAATATTTCTGCCCCAAAAATATAACGTTAAGAAAAAATATAAATAATTCAAGGACGCTTAAGTGTACTTTCTCAGATTTAATTAATTCTCAATTACATACTTTACTGGAAAGACGCCAAAACCATGAAGTACGACATACAATTTTGGACAACCTTGAAAAAGAAAAATCTGTTATTGTTGTTACAGTAATAGTTAATCCTACCACAATAATATACAGAGTTGACACCCATAATTTGTCATTCATTACACTCTTATTATATTTACTGTCAGTAGACCGAACAAAATTTTCATAACATAGATACCATCAATCAGAAGGTCCTTTAAGTTGATAAATTTACAATTTTTATAACATTTTTTATTTTGGAAGTGTTTATACAAAATGTTATATCCCACTAACGTAAATTATCATGCATATTATAATCGTTAATTTCGTTTTAATTCTAAATAATAAGGAAAAAGGGAATTACAGGGTTGTACATCAAACTTGTCACTTCGAAGCAGTTTCTGAACATTGGTAAAATGAATCTTTACCAATTATTTAAACCAAGCCAGCCGAAGGTTTTCGAAACTATTGATGATACTAAAATACGTTTCAGACAAAGTCAAATTTTTTAAGCACATAATCTGATGTAAATTTTTGCTATGTAGACAGGTAGAGAACATCTGAAGGGTCAACTTTATTTTTCTAAAATGGAAGCATATATATTTTCTAATACCTATACTTTATTTAGTGAGAATAACAGAAAATATAAATAACAATGATGAATCAGATTGGATATTTACATATATTCGCAGTCGACGAATAAAGATAGGTGCTACTTCGTCTCAATGAACGAAATATAGTCGAAGTATAATATTATCTACATATAGATAAATATTAAACCGTTTATCATGGAAAATTGTTAGTTTAAGAGATATTTTTATTTTAACATACCAGACATATTGCACATCATGCATATTAAAATTTAGTACTTTTATACAGGGTGTTCATCCATCCCTGGGAAAAATTGTAATGGGAGATTCTAGAGGCCAAAATAGGACGAAAATCAAGAATACCAATTTGTTGATGGAGGCTTCGTTGAAAAGTTATTAACGTTTAAAGTTCCGCCCGTACTGAATTTTTTTCTCGAAAGTGGGTAGGATTTCGGGAGTATGTCTATTAATAAAAAATAATTACAACTGACCTCTGCAACGAAAAATAATTTTTTCAAAACGATTTGATACACATGAAATTTCAGGGGAATCATTCATTCATGATCAGACATTATATTTTCGATAACGAATTTTTTTCTCGAAACTGGGTAGGAGTTCAGGGGTATGTGTATTCACCAAAAATGATTGTAATTAACCCCCACAACCAAAAATAATTTTTTCAAAATGATTTGAAATTTTTTAATTTAATTTTTTAATAACTTTTTAATTAAGCCTTAGTCAAGAAATTGATATTCTTGATTTTCCCGAACACCCTGTATAAAGAATAGCGTACGCAAGAAATGATGATTCCATTTTAGAAAACTATGAAGATTATGTTCTCCCTGGAAAAATTTAATTTTTTTGTGAAACATTTTTTATTATCATTTGTAATTTTGAAGATGTTCGACTTGATCGATTTAACACTAAACTTATCGACACTTCATGTATACCCATTTCTACCATGACTAGTCAAATGACCAGTTTTTTTTTTCTCTTTTATGAGGCAACGTCTAATTTTTGCATTATATGTATAGTAAAGTTTTTTAGTGAGATACCTTTCTCTTTTAAATCACATATTTTTTCTTAAAGCATGCATTTTAGAAATCCGTACAGAAATATTCAGTAATTTGATTCCAAATATACTTTAATTTCATACAGAAAATCTACAAATTACGCCGAAATTTTTTAATATACCGTAGTTAATTCCGGAAAAACAATTATTTAAAAAAATATTCTGACTTCTTACCATACTAAAATTCTGCATGGAATACACGAATATTTTTCCAGCTGTTATATAGGAGGGTTTGCTGGAGCGCATCAACATAAATAATAACATTCTTTGCGTTTCTTTCGGTACCGTGTACCAGTTGCCATAATATCTGTAACGAAACAATCTTATCAAAATTAGAACATACAATATTATTAATTCATGCATCTGCGCCGGATACGTCTAATATACAGTAATGCTGGCCTAAATTTCAACAACCTCCCCCCTCCCCTTTCCCACTGAGTGTGTCTCAAACTTATGTAATATAACTCTATGAACAAAGACAGTGTACAGATATAACGAATGTAAGTTAGTCAAGAATACAGTCATCCAATCGTAAAAATAAATATTCTTCACTTTATCTTCATAACAAGGGTGTCAATTGGATTTCTATGTTTTATTTTCGCTACGTAAAATTTTCAAAGTAATTATTGTGGTACATAGTAATATAAAATATGATTTATTCAGGTCTAATAAACCATACAGTGAAATAACAAAGGTAGCGAGGAAGAGATGTTTTATAAAACCGTTTCGATAGTAATACACAAGCACGGGAATTCCCCGTGGCCGACTGGCGAGCTCTACTTGGGGGGTCCCCTACGGTCGACCAGTACTCCAACATAAAGCGCCATCGTGCGGCCATAAGCGTGCCACAATTAGTAGTAAACATTATCCGACTTATGTCGTGTTTGGACTCATTTTAATCGGGAAAATCTCATCAATCCGTTAATACTGTTATTATAAAGATAAAGTGAACAATTTAAAAATTTTAATTTATTTATATAAATAGTATTATCTCATATTCTATTAAATAATGGATTTAATACAAAATATAATAATGAAAATAATTATCTTAAATTTATATAAGGATATTCAATTAATTGACCTCCTAATCATGTTAATAAAATAAATGAATTAACAAATAATCACAATATTATATTATTAATTGGATAAAATTTACTAGATTTAATTTTATTATTATTAATAATTGGTATAAAATATAAAATTAAAAGAGATATAAATAATATTAATGCTCCTCCTAATTTATTTGGAGTAGCTCGTAAAATAGAATATGCAAATAAGAAATATCATTCTGGTTTAATATGTTTTGCTGCAATTATTGAATTTGCTATAATAAAATTATCTGGATCACCTAAATAATATGGAATTTGTATAATAATAATAAAATTAATATATAAAATTTTAAAAAATCCTAAAATATCTTTAATTAAAAAATAAGATTAAAAAAGAATCTTAAAAATATTGCTGTCTATAGCTATTGGATTATTTGATACATTTAAATGAAAATTATGGCAAAAATAAAACCCGTAAAAAAATGGAGCTTACATTTTCTTCGTAATTGAAAGACTATGGTCGATCAGTTTTTCACTTTGATAACTGACGTAAAAAACATGAAGCAACTGGCCGAAAGCGTACAGCGCATACCGGCACATTTCAAACGATCCCAGTAACATCACTGTCTACAACAAAAAGATAATAATTCATAGTAATCAACGAGATTTATTGCACAGTTTAAATTGCACTTTCTTGTGGTGTTACTCACTCTTACTAAAGTAATGGTGAGACATAACACGTTTAAACCCAATACTATAAGCTGACATAGCGTAAAAGTCGAATCCAGAAGATCGATCAAACTTTGGGAAGAAAAATTGATTTCACCATGATTGCAGTAAGTCTACCGCACACGTGTTATTTTTAATACTAACTCTAATGCTTTACAATGCGTGCGAACGCAATCCATGAGAAAAAGAGAATACTTCTTCCTTTGCCGACTAATGGATATTTGCTCTGTACCGTTACACTTATAGAGTGTATGTTCCAGCCGATATCTAGTGAATATTATATTTTTTAATATTTTTAATCGAGAGTCTAAAATCTTTGCTTTTGTTAATAAATACAATACAAGAAAATATTTAATTTAAAGTCGCGTGTCATATGATAAAAATTTCCTTCCTTCGAAGGCATAGTTTTCTATATTTCAAGTTAGAAAGTTTTAAATTCATATTTCAGTTTTGGTTAATATAAGTAGAAAAGTCGTAACGGATCGAAATCATGCATACAGTTTGAGAGGATGTAACATAATATTGTATTTTCTCGATAAAATTCTTTAACATATAATCACTTCCTGTTTATGCTAAAGAAGAACATAAAGTTTATTTAAAAAATTCATCTTGAGTATAGAAAACAGCCTTTGAGAAGAAAGCAACGACCCATCTTGTATTCTATGTACTTTTACAAGCAGATAATTAAAATTTTCAATAATCTTACCCAACAACGGCGAGCATACCGCATATATATTGGACGTATGTGATCAATATTGTATCGAAGGCTACCAAAATAATGATTATGAAGAAACAAACAAAAATAGAGATGATTGTTATCAAGGCGAAATATTCTTGCTCGTCGACGAAGAATTCTGCTGGAAAAAGTGGTTTCAACGGGCGAGTTTCGTTCAGAGGTGAGATGATGTCGAGCATGCGTGGTTCGAATATGAACATAACATATACCGTTAAAATCATGAATATAAGATCTAAAAAAGAGACGTAACTGTATTAAAATATGTGTAAGTTTCGTGATAGTTGAAGATTTTATATAATAATTACATTATACGCAAGGAAATTAAAATTAAAAAAAAACATTTATAATCAATCGTAAATCACTTTTTGTATAAAATGTAGAATTCATTATTTTCTTTTACAATAATGTTTGTGGGAAATATTTTTTCTTTATATTATTTTTGATCATCGACTGTCTACTATAGAGCAAGTACTAAATTATTGTTCGAATTTATAGTCACATAATCCCAATCATGTATTTATATTGTAATCAAGTGTAACATGTTTGATAGTTGGGGAAGTGACCTTGTTGAGACCAACTTTTTCTACGAATATTCCGTAAATTTACGCAATCAAACATTTCAAACATAAAGCAAGTGTTCCATGTCCAATTTATGTTTATCCATAAAATATGAAAGTGAAAATAAAGAAATTGAACTAATATAAGAATAACTAGTTTAACGTGTTTTACCATTTGATACGTAACAACGATGTAAGTAATAGGTTAACGGTAATAAATAAATTAAAACTTTGCATAGAACTTTGCTGCCAGTATAAATTGTATGCGTTAATATACTGCGAAAGCTGACGAATCCATGATTTTTGTTCCACAGAATTCCATTCAATGTAATATTCGAAGGCCATACAACCAATTATTTGACATTACGATAACTGAATAACGATTGCCACATAAAATTCGATAATAATAATACGAATGAAAAATTACACATGTACGCCATTGAAAAGATCCTTCCTTCGTTCGCATATCTTTCCATGATTTTTATTTCATCGGGAGCTGTTCGTTCTTTCCAATCGTCATTTATTTGCTTTTGTAGGTACCCTAGCTACAAGTGATCAAATAATTCCGAGATTAGAACTACTTATGGTTTTAACATATTTACCAATCCACGCGTACCTTCTTTCCATTGAAGTTCAAAGCGTTTAATTTAGACACGCAAACTAGCCCCGTTATGGTTGGAGGTATAGCTTCGAACATGTTTAATTCTCGAAAAGATCGGGTGAATTTCAAAAACTGGAAAATTATCGAAAGAATTCCACCATTAACTTGAACAAAATCAAACGAAGCTGATACATTCGTAAAACGAAAATTTTAAATTGTTAATATTTCGGTGAAGTTTATGACTTTATAATGTAATCAATTTTTAATGAATAAACTAGTGTTAGTTTCGTTTTATAATATACATTGCTTCACAGTGTTAATTCGTTTTTAGTCCACATTCGTTAGTGTCCGATGACTAGTTTTATATTGGAATAATTCGTTCGAAATATGGAGACAGTTGAACCAATTTCATCTAACTACTGGAGAACAGAACTGAATGCCTGATGTTGGACTTTATATAGTAATTTTGTAAACATAACTTTAAATATATTTATGAGTTATTGGAACAGTAAAGTGTCAAGATTGTTAAAGTACGTTGTATGTGGAAATGGAAAATACTAAATATGCTCCTATACAGGGTGTTCGGCCATCACTCAAAATAAGACGAAAATCAAGAATATCAATTTCTTTATTAAGGCTTCATTAAAAAGTTATTAAAAAATTAAATTAAAAAATTTCTAATCATACTGAAAAAATTATGTTTGATTGCAGGGCTGAATTACAATCATTTTTGGTGAATACAGATACCCCTGAAATCCTACCCGCTTCCAAGAAAAAAATTCGAATAGGTACTGAAATTTTTAGATGAAATTAAAAAATGTTAAATCATACTAAACAAATTATATTTAGTTACAGGGGTCAATTACAAGCAGTTTTGGTGAATAGATATACCCCGAAATCCTACGCACTTTCGAGAAAAAAATTCTTTACCGAAAATCTAATGTGAGGCCCAATAATGGTTCCCCGAAATTTTATGCGAATCTTTAAAATGCCATAACTCCTGAACGGATTGGACGATTTTAATTTTTCAAAATGCAAACTACGCGTATTTCGGCCAAGAATATGTATAAATTCCAAAAATATACGAAAAACTGCTCCCACGCCCCGTAAAGTGAGAAAACCTCCATAAGACTGGTCCAATTTTCAAACGTCCATAACTCCTACAATAGTGAATATATTTCATTGAAAATTTTTTCTGAAATGGAGCCCATGGGCATCTACAAAAAAGTATTACACAACTTTTCTGTAGGTCGCCAAAAAAAATTATTTAAAATCGAAAACGTGTTTTTAAGAAAAATTGACCGGGGGTAGGTAGCTGCAGAAATTTTTCATCGAAAAAAAGATTTCAAATCGTTCTAAAAAAATTATTTTTAGCTGGGGGAGTCAATTACAATCATTTTTGGTGAATAGACATATCCCCTAAATCCTAACTATATTCGAGAAAAAAATTCATTACTGAAAATAGAATGTCTGACCATAACTGTCTGTTACCCTGAAAATTGAAAAGTTTCAATTTATTGTGGAAAAATTATTTTTGGTTGCGGGGGCAATTACAATCATTTTTAGTGAATAGACACATCCCCGAATTCCTACCCAGTTTCGAGAAAAAAATTCGAATAGGTGTGAAATTTGTCGACAAAATTAAAAAATTTCAAATCGTTCTTGAAAAATTATTTTCGGTTTCGGGGGTCAATTACAATAATTTTTGATGAATATACCTACCCTCGAAATCTTACCCACTTTCTAGAAAAAAATTCAGTACTGGCGGAACTTTAAATGTTAATAACTTTTTAACGAAGCTTCTATCAACAAATTAGTATTCTTGATTTTCGTCTTATTTTGGCCTCTAAAATCTCCCATTAAAATTTTTCCTAGGGGTGGCCGAACGCCCTGTATAGTAATTCTGTAAACATAACCTTAAATATATGTATGAGTTATTGGAGCACTAAAGTGTCAAGATTATTAAAGTACGTTGTACGTGGAAATGGAAAGTTCTTCTAATCAGAAAATACTAAATATGTTTCTATATAAAGCAAAGACAAAAGCCAATAATAAAATGTTTGCAGACTTGTATTTGCAAGTAGATAGAGTGTGTTTTAGAAGAAACTCAGTATATTTCGAAAACTATGTCAGATATATTATGTTTCATCTACAGAATTTATTGCTGAAGCAATTCTTACATGCTACATGACACCCTGTATATTTTGAAGTAATTATTAGATATAGACGTATAGTTATCTAAACCAAATTATTCGTTCAATATATACCAGGGACCAAAATAAGCTATTTATTACAATTACTAAACAATTATAAATAAATAAATTACTTGTATCTGTTTTCTATCGCATCTACAATTTAGAACTATTATTTACAAGTACCATTCTTCCACTAGAAGAAGGCACAGCGTGTTTGCATCCCCACTCTTGTTGCAGTCCGCTGACTCACAGGTATTGGTCGAAAACGGTGACGAAGATCGGTGACATCCAATCAGTGGGTTGCAGCAAGAGTGGAGATGTACACACGCTGTGCCTTCTTCTCGTGGAAAGACGATAAAATCGCCAAATATAAAATGCATTTATGACGTAATTTATTGGAAATTAAATCTAAAAAAATATTCATTATTCCATATGAATTTTTGATACATAGACTCGACTGTAACAAAAACTACAAAAACTAGTTTCACACGAAACAGTGAACGAAACAAATGTTAAAACCTTCCCGTGGGCCTAACGAATTTAAGAAAAGAGTGGATAAACATATAAACATGTGTTACCAGCGAGGAGAATATCATAATTCCAGCAGTGTAAATGGAATATATTCGAATCCTGCGTTTCGAAGGATCCTCATAGGGCCACTGTCCCAAGAACTTCAGGTGCATTCTACTAGTTTTGCAATAATGGCTGTCAGTGAACTCCATGGCTTGTTGGCAACTGATGTCGGTCCGAGTATCCCATTGTCGCATTACATCATCACTTGATTGACACAATAATTTCCCTTTCATTTTCTTCGACATTTTATCGATCTTGTGTCGACCTATCAACAGACAGACATGCATTACGATTTCCAAGTACGTTAAAAATGAAGTCGATAAGAAAATTACATGCTTCGAGAACACTTTTGTGATCATGACTAGTAATTTGTCCTGACAGCGAAAATGCACATAATAGTTTTATTATTTTAGAAACTACTTTGATTATATCGTATTCGTAACAAGGTCTTGACAACAAAGCGAGGAGTTTTCGCTAATGAATATTTCAATTGGTAATCGAACGTTTCTGAGTGAACAAAAGAAACGTGTCTCCGTGGAAGAAATAGTCGACAGTTTTCGCGAGGACTTGAAATGGAATACATCTGCGTCAGATCGAATTGTTTGTATCGTTGAAACGTTTCATAAAAGTGTCGAAGAAACGAACACGAAGAATAACTTTCGTCGGTGAGATTTATCGTGTTTTGATCAATTTCGTAAAATTACACTGTGACTACTATATGCATTGGTTTCCAAAAAAAACGACTAGTAATACTTTATTAGAACCATACGAATGTTCTTAAATACCATTTTCTTTGTTTCTCATTTATTAATTTTGAAAGGATAATTCTTCAGTATTAGAAACAAAATTTTATTTCATTTAATTATGAAAGCTTAGATTTGCTAATGAACTATACAGTAATATATCCTATATCCATGACTAAATACAATATACTATTTTTTAAGAAATTTTTAACAGTAAATAAGTTTTAGTTTACAGTATTGGAAAAAAAAGTTTTATATTGTTTAAGTGGTATATTTTATTTCATTATGTATTTTAAATCTTATTTTAGATCACTATATTTTTGTACCAAAATACAATATACTATTTTTTAAGAAATCTTTAACAGCAAATAAGTTTTGTTTAAGTGGTATATTTTATTTCATTATGTATTTTAAATCTTATTTTAGATCACCATATTTTTGTACCAAAATACAATATACTATTTTTTAAGAAATCTTTAACAGAAAATAAGTTTTGTTTCACTTTCTGATAAAGAAAACATCGTTCATTGAGACCCATTTTAATTTACTTTTTCCCCCATTAAGTAACACAATCATTTCTTCGCCCTTCAGTAGCAGAGTGCGACAAAACTGTGAATTGAGTATTAAATACTTGTAGGTTCTGTTTCCCGTTCTCCAAAGACGCGACAGCTGAATAGTTTTAAAGTATTCGAAGATTCTGAATACCTCAAAAGTTGAGAAACTCTTAAAGCTTCCAAAGAAGCCCTTGAAACTTCTGAATGCCTTGGTGAAATGAAAAGTAGCATACTTAATTCGAGCATTTCGAATTTCATTCGCAATTCTTGGATGTATATGCAATTTTGCCAAGCATTAATCTCCCTTCTGCTATTTTTCCATTGGCTGCCATTTTCAGTTCTAGGTAGACTCTTGGTTTTGTGAGCTCGCCCTTTGTTACCAACTCTTCACATTTTACTTCTACCCTCTCATTGCTATTCCGGTATGCTACACAATTTCTTCCTATTGTTTCAGTTTTTTTTTTTTTTTGTTTTTTTTTGCGAACGTTCCAAAATATTTTTGCGGTGGGAATAGAGCAACGGCTTTATTTTATTCAACATTCAATGCATTTCAAGTGTAGATATTGTGTACAATACTCTATCTCATTATGGTTACCTTAATCTACGGTAATTTTATTTCTACCCTATGATCGTTTTACAATACAGAATAATTCATTTCTTAAAATATGTACCTGTTTTTAATTAGCAATATCCGTCAGAAAATATTTATTTTCATGTTTTAAATAAAATATAAATAATATGAAAATAGTTTATTTCCATATTTCAATATTTCCCATTGATGCAACATAATGGATTATAGCAGAGACATTGCAGCGATGAATATTTAAAATTAAATCAAAACTAAGCTTTGTGCATATTTCGTAATTTTGTAATTAAATTACATTTATCACATATTCCATGTTTCTTACTGTTAAATGATAAATGAGCGAAGAAGAATTTTTTCTGTATACGCGTAATCAACCAAGTAATGGTTTTATATGTAAATTCTGTATGCTCGCTTCAAAATTTGATTACATTTTGAGCAAAATCCAATATTCATGGTTACATTGCTCGTAAAAATTCTAAACAATATTTTAGATAAATTTTGCTTAAAAAATGGTAGAAAATTGCAACTGCGTTAATAATGTGTATCTTAAATATTTTAATTAATATAACATATTAGTGAAAATATTGTTGTGATCAAAGAATTATTATCTTTAATGAAGTGGTATTATCTTATTCGTTTTTTATTATTTCAGAGCGATCATGGTATGATTGTAATTGAAAGTTCATCAACAATGAAATAGAAAAATTGAATATTCTGGTTCTGATGGAACGCCTCAAATCCTTTTTCAGGCATTGACTAATTCAGTAGTCCATCCACAAAACAGAGATGAATTTTTTCATTATATATAAGTCATTTACCAAGGTTTGGGCATGTCAATTCTCCCCTCATCAGTAATGCATGTTCCAAGAACTGACTTGCCCGTAGACAGTAAATGTGGTTTTCTCCGTAAACCGTTGACTAATACCATTTTCACATTCAAGTTGCTCCGTGCTGGCACATAAATTTTACGCTATCGCTGCTAAAACGTTAGTTGCTTTTCCTTCATTAAGAAATTAGACAGGCGCAGCGGTAATTAACTGTGGTCAAATGTTCGCATGTCCAAGTTGTAAAATTTAAGGTACTAGCAGGGAACGACCGATACCTTGAGTTTATGAGGGTTTTACAGTCGACAGGTCTTCGTAGTTCCTCCGTGAAGGTTTCAGAGTACTCGATCGAACTATACGGTTTCAGGATGGTCATGTAACTCTAGCACACAATTAGAATTAATAACAGATTTAAAGAAATTCATACGACAATTATGTATCGTTCAGCTGCTATCTGTTCATCTTGTTTTCTGACGAGAATTTATACATTTTTGTCGATTAAACGAAAGTGAAATCGTCTGTCGGTTCCTTTGTCGTATTTCTTATCCATAATTCAAAGTAAAATCGTACTTTTACATTCACAGTATCCGTTTTTTATGCAGATAGAGTACTAACAAGCTCAACTGAACAAATTTCATTCCTGAATAAACTAGGTACCTGTTTTAACCCTTAAGTACACAGGCTCAAATACTTACGTAGAGACACAAGTGGGTCTATGAGACCCATTGCATGGATTCAAGTATCTTTTTTTTAATCGATACGTCAAAGATTTAAGAATAACACTGTACAAGTTAAATTGTAGCATGAGTTTGTACAGTAAAGATATTTATCAAAAAGTAAAAGATAAAATGAAACATTTTTGCAGAAATTTCATTTTCTTCAAAAAATCATTTTTACCACAGGAAAGTGAAAAAAAGTCATGAATTGTATTTCATGAAAAAAAATATGCTGAAACGACTCGTTGAAAAAACTATAATTATTTTGTAGAATGAAAGTAGATGAATTTTTTCATTTGTAAATAATTTTTTAAATATGTGAGGTTTTCTTACATAAAGTATGAAACGCATATAAGAACCTTTTTAACCGAGAGAATCCGCGGTTTCAATTTTTTAAAAAGAAATAAATATCAATGGGGCATTCGCATGAATCTCGTAACATTTTTAAAATTTTGAAGGAAATTACGTGGCCAGCAACATTGTTGGAAGATACTACACGAATAAATTTTCTAGGTTGAGGAAAACAGGTCGGTTTTCTCTTTCTCGTCCCTTATTTTTGCTTTAGTGGCGCAAAATGCGTTCATTCGACTGTACGGAAACGTGACCCTATAAAAATAAGATTCATGTAGCTCTTTGATCCCAGCTTTCCCTATATTTCCCAAGAATGTAGTCTGCAGATAATACCTGAAACAAATAAGGAAAGTATTTCCTTTCTTCCATACTATATTTTTAAAAACGACTGCAAAAATTGATGGAGAACAATCTTTTGTTGGCGTTTCGAAACAACATTTCCATGAAAAATATTATGATTGTTAAATCACAGAACTGAAGAAAAATTTCGATTCATGTTTGTATCATTCATATGATATTCAATTAGTCTTTGGATTAAACTCATCAACCAGAGAGATTTTAATTAATATCTTAATCAATTACAGAATAATTTTTGCTCTCATATCCAAGTAAAATATACCTTTTAGATAAAAATTTAAAAATCCTTTGATTATGTTTTGATAAGCGTCGATGTCACTGAATTATATCACGTTTCCAATTAACGTAAGGAGCTTACTTTGATATATTTTTTTTCATCATGGTTGAGTTTATCCACGTGATTTTCGAAGTCCCTCTCGCCTTTCCGTTAAAACTTCTCCTGGCTCCTTTCTTTTTAGTGTGAAACACCGAATCGAGAGAATAGAATGTTGTAAAGGTACAAAAATACGACGGTACTTTTAGCGTTTTCCTCTATTTTAGTTTCAAAATATTGCAGACTTCGGACGGTGGTGCCATAGCACGCGCTAGAATTTTTCAATTTTGTTCAACAAATACCAGTGCCGCTTTTAAAGATCCGAGGATAACAGGGACCATGAAAAAAAATCTTCGAAACAAATCACTATCAGGTTGACAGCAAATATTACTCGTTTCTTTTATTCGTTTGGGCGTTCAGACTCAGTTATTTTCACACGTTAGGTTTTCACGTTAATTTCGTTATGGAGTATTTACATATTTCGATAACAAACATTTTATTTATTTAGTGTTGAGAACCTCGAATGAGGTTTATTTCAGCTCACAAATGTGAAATATACATTGCATATTTACTACACGGGTGATTTTAATGATATACAAATTCTTCGACACTAAAAATGTGATAAGTATTTGTGTAATTAATACATTTTATTGACATTTTCAGGAGTTATATGTGGATAATATTGGAATTTTTTTCTTACGTTAT